TGTTAGAGCAAACAGCTGGTGACAAACGTCTGTGTAATTGGAATGCCAGAAAAAATAAACTGCATCCATTTTTATGACAAGAAGGAGATTTGATGGTGATTTCCCACCTCCCACCCCCCGTTTTCCCAGCATCGATGCACTCTGTGGGCTCTGAAAGCAAATGGTATTTAACCCCGTAGCTTGGCCGGCGAACTGGGAAACACAGCCTCCTCTCACCCAGCGCACTTCCACGGGGGCGGTGAGAGCCGGACACCCCTCTCCCGGGGGGCCCTGGGCCAGTTCCCGGGCCCGCGCCTGGCGGGGGGGCCACGCCGGCACCGAGGCTGCAGGGCTGTGGCGGGGGGAGTCCGGGGGGAGTGTCGAAAGCAGGAAGCGCCACGCCTGGCACGGAACCCAGGCTGAGGGCACCAGGGGAGCTCAGCGCTCTGGGGCGCGGCACTGGGGTCTCCACAGTCTCGGCGGGGACTTTGCTGTCCTGTGACCAGGGGAGGGACACGTTTCGTCATGTGGGCCGCAAAAGGGGCTGCGGAGACCTCAGCTCAGAGGCCTACCTGGGAAGGGCCTTAGAAATCACTTCCAGCAGCAGCTCACCGGACAGAAGGGAAGACTGAGGCCCCAGTGAGGTGACTATGTGCACGGCAGGGGGGGCGGAGCCGGGACGGGGGTGCTGGGGGCACAAGAGGCCCTGCACACGGAGGGTGGGTGCTCTGGAGACTCCGCTCGCACACTCAGGGGCTCGGCCACCCAGACAGTAAGCAGCCCTTTGGAACACGAGCTCCACACAGCCTGCCACCTCAGCTTGATCCCAGGCCTGAAGCTAAGACGTCAGCACCTGAGAGATTCTGCCCAAAGGGGCCAGGCCAGGCTCACGTGTGCCCCCAGCACGAAGGGCCTCCCCGCCCAGAGGTCAGCAGGAAGAGAAAGGCGGGAGCAGCAGGAGCAGCGGGAGCAGAGGGAGCAGCGGGAGCAGAGGGAGCAGAGGGAGCAGAGGGAGCAGAGGGAGCAGAGGGAGCAGAGGGAGCAGCGGGAGCAGAGGGAGCAGAGGGAGCAGCGGGAGCAGAGGGAGCAGCGGGAGCAGAGGGAGCAGAGGGAGCAGCGGGAGCAGCGGGAGCAGAGGGAGCAGCAGGAGCTGCCCGGCATCAGGCTCTCTGGCTCCCAGTCGCCTGCGTGAGGAGCATCCTTAGGCCCCGCAGAGCCAGCCTTCCCCGAGGAGCCAGCCTTCCGGCTCCAGTCACATGGCCCGGGGACCCTGATCACTGCCCGGGCCTCTGCCCAAGCCCTTCATTCAAGGTATCGGGGTTCCTCTTCTCTCCCCACATCTCCAACCTGGGCCTGAGAGCAGCTTGAGTGCAGGAACTTACTGGCCTAAACTATGCCATCCATGCTGGTAGCTGTCGTTGTTAATGCTCAGTGGCTTAACATGGCTGGAAGGGGTGCCCTGGATTGCTGGGAGAGACTGAGGGAGATAGACAGAGGAGCATCACTGTGAGAAAGAAGCATCAATAGGCTGCCTCCCCCCGGCTCCTGGACCCAGGATCAAAGGCGAAACCTGGGTATGTGCTCTGACCAGGAACTGAACCCGCCACCTTCTGGTGCATGGGACAATGCTCTGGCCACTAAGTCACACAGGCCAGGACCCCTCCTCTCTGTCTCCTCTTCCTACTTCCTCCTTTCCCTCACCACCTCTCCCCTCACCCCTCCTTCTCTTCCTCCTCCTCCTCCTTTTCCTCCTCCTTTTCTGTCCTCCCCCTGCTACTCTTCCTCATCTTCCTCCTCCTCTTCTTCCTCTCCTCCTCCTCCTTCTCCTCCTCCTTTTCCCTCCTCCTCCTCCTCCTTTTCCCTCCTCCTCCTGCTACTATTCCTCCTCCCCTCCTCTTCCTCCCCTCCTCCTCCTCCTCTCTTTCTCTTCCTCTCCTCCTCCCTCCTCTTCCTCCTCCTCCTTCTCCTCCTCCTTCTCTTCTTCCTCAGCTCCCAGGAGTTGCTGCTTTAAAAACAGGAGCTGCAAAACCATGGCCCAGAGCCAGGTGCTTAAAGTGCATTATCTCCGGACGAATGGCAGCCGGAGTCAGAGCTGAGCTCTCCAGGGCCTTCCACTCCTCCCGCCTGTCTCTCCGCTGGGCGGCCTCTGACACGGGCCTCTGCACTGCTGGGCTCCCACACGGGGCTCCTGCCCCCAAAAGCACATCCTGGAGGACTCACCGACCCCGTAGGAAAGGTCTGGGTGGGTAAAAGGACGCGCCTGCGGCTCAGGGCGAGCCGGGTTCACTTTAAATCCCGTTCTTAACACAGGACTGGAGGGACCGCAGGGGACCTGAGCCAACCTCCCCCGAGGCAGCCTGAGAGGACGGCCCCGCCTTCTGGGCGCAGTGGCTGGAGGGAGCGTCCCCGAGTGGGACAGCTCAGGTCTCCACCACCCGCCTCAGCGGTCATCCCCGTCCGCTGCCATTCATCCAGGACTCTGTTTGAGCCCATCGCGTACACCGACACGTCTTCCAGTTTCTTCCTAGCTTTGCTTTCGTTCTCCCTCATGAGGATGTAAGCCAGGCCCCTTCCCATGTCCAAGCCCTCAGTGGCTGCAGGGGAGGGGGGAACAGGGGCTTGATCTGAGCCCCAAACCCATGCCCTCTGTCTACGGGGACTCTGGAGGGTAATGCCCACTGTGCCCACCACAGTGCCCACGTGCTCAGCATAGAATTCCCCAGTGTGCAACTTGTAGGTGCTCAAATAACACTGAATGAATGAACGAATGAATGAGTGAATCTCTAGAGACGCCATACCCCTTGGTGTGGTTAACAAAACAGAGGCCTACTCCAGCCACTCAGGTCCCCTGGGCAGGTCACTGGAGACTGCCCCTGAGGACACCTCGGAACTCACACCTGCACGGGGACAGATTCGCAGGAAGGCATGGCAGCAGGAGTGGGTAGTCCTGTGAGCCCCAACCTGCTGGGACAGAATGCGGGGCCTGAGAGGCCCTAGGAGGTCCCACAGCGCCGGGTCCTGTCCTGTCCTGTCCTCCCATCTAGGTCCTCCTGGCAGCGGTGTCTGCCCAGGCCCAGCACCTGGGAGACGGCAGCCCAGGACAGCCGGCCTGGTGGGAGGGTGAAGCAGATGGCGCGCTGCCCAGTGCCCTTCAGGGGTGAGGCACGATCTCCTCTTGGAGAGTCAGACCGGACAGGGCCTTAGAGATCGCTGACGATTACCCATCCCTGTTCCTGTTTATCGACAAGGAAACTGAGGCTCAAAGGGTGAAGAAGTGGGTCTAAGAGGACACCACCGGCAGCGGGCAAGCCAGGACATTGAAATCAGGGCTGCTGATGCTCTTAACCACCATCTCCCACCTCAGTCTCCCAATCCGGGCAACGGGGAGGTTGGACCCGATGGCCTTTAACGTGGCTTAGATTTGAAGTGATTTCAGGGGAAACCAAAAGCATCTTCACCCTCACTCTCCCTTCGCCCCTCCCCTCCCAGTGCTGGCCTCCTCCCCAGCCCAGGACACGGCTCCAATCTAGGAACAGGGAAGGGAGGGGCTGTGAGGGGAGGAACTGGGAGTGGAGGGAGGGGAACAGGAGCAGAGATGGAGAAAAGATGCCTGCCCACGTTGTCCCTCCCGCCCTCCGGCCTGGCGAGTGCCAGGGGAGGTTCACAGACAGTTTACAAACCGCCTCTGTCCCAGGGCGATGCACAGAGCCATCCATCACGCCCTTCACGTCCCCGCACAGGGGGAGGCCGCCCTGGGAGCAGCCTCGCCACCGGCACTTCCGCTCTCACCCACTTGATGAAGATTTCCTCTAATTGGTCCGTGTTAATCACTCCCAGGAATGCAACGTGCAATTACCACAGCGGCGAGCAGCGAGGCTGGCCGAGAGGAGGCCCTCCCCGTGTAGGCAGGAGGGTCCACGGGGGCCCCTAGCTTGGGGCCCAGGGCCCTCTGGGAAACCCGGAGGACCCCCCAGGGAGGACTGCTGGGAAGGGGGAGGGGAGGGATGGTCAGGGGGAGGGGGAGGGCAGGCCAGGAAGGAAGGGACCATGGAGGGTGCCCGTTACAGCTCCCCACCCTCCTCACGGATGCAGACTCTCCCTCTAGCCTCGCGGGAACAGAGTCCGGACGGTTTCCATAAACCTTGCTTGGCACGGCCTGGCCCTGGCCCTGGCCCCCAACTGGAAATGCTGGGAGCACGGGCCATCTGGGAACCACAGCTATGCCCAACACCTTTCCTCCAGCACACGTTTCTCCAAACACCAGGCTTTGTGCAGGCTGTTCCCTTCGCCTCATCCGCCTGGTGGCCTCCTGGCTGTCCTGCTGGTCCCAGCTCAAACACACTGCCACTAAGCTGCCCTTCCAACCTCCCGTGGGCAGGAGAGGTACCTGTCCCTCCTCCGCCTGGCCTTCCACAGCCGCCAGCACCGGCCTCACCGCACGGCCCTGCCCTGCCCGGCCGGAGGGTCTAACCATCCTGGGAGGTGCGTAGGGACTGGGACCATCTGTTTATCGTCGTTATGGTCCTGCCCAGCATACTCCAACTGGGGCTCAGCAAATCCCTCCAGAGTGAGTGAGTGAGAGAGGGAATGAGCATTATCTCCCTTCATGCACAGCCTCAGAGGACCCCCAGGCCAAGTCCGTTTCCTAAAACATGCCCACGGGTTCTCGGGGCTCGCCTCTGCTCAGGGGGTCCCATCCTGATGCAGCTTCCACATGGGGAACCAGCACCGAGCGCAGAGGCTGGAAAGGGCTTCGGAGACAAATCGCCCTCGTTTCTAAGCAGACGCAGACCCAGAGGCCGGGGTGGCTGTCCAAGGTCCCCAGCAGCCCATCACCAGGAGCGGGGCCACGTGCTAATCCCAGGGCCGTGAGGCGCTCTGGAGCTGGGCCGACCCCAGCAGAGCTCCCAGAAGCGGCTCTCACCGGCCCTTTGGGAGCCTGGGTGAGCACGGGCACCCCAAGCTCCTGTCCCCCCACCCTTAGCCTCTCCCAGAGGCGGCTGCGGAGCCGTGGCACGTACCTTGCGCTTCTTGGCCCGCCCCTCGGCCTGCAGGGTGCGGGTACAGCGCTGCACACACTCGGAGAAGCTGAGGTTGCTGCGGTCGGCGCTGTAGTCGAGGTCGGCCAGCCGGGCCAGGGACAGGATGTAGTTGCAGGCGATCCTCAGGATGGCCAGTTTGGAGAGCTTCTGCCCGTACGAGTAACACGGCACCTGGTGGGCGAGAAGGCGTCAGGAGGAGCCGCCGGGGCCCCTGCAGAGCATGACCCCGTGGGGCAGCCGGCCAGGCAGGCCTGGGGCCGCTCACAGCAGCATCGGCACCGCCTGCGAGGGACGGCTGGACGGTGGCGGCGGCCCGCCTCAGCCATCGGCCCGGGTTTCAGTCCCCGTTCTGAGCACCCGCACACACGTCTCCGCTCATCCACTCACAGACCCGGGGAAGTGTACACACCTGAGAGCCGGTCTGAATGAAGCACAGCGTGTTCCCGCCTCTGTCCCAACCTCCCCGAGAGGGATCTCTCCGAGAGAACAGACATTTCTGATCGGCTCTGATATTCCTCCCATTCGTTCGTTCTTCATTCATTCATTCATTCATTCATTCCCTGAGGCTGGCTTTGCTTGGCGCTTGAGGTTCTGACAATGAAGAACGTGATTCCTACCTCCAAAACAGAGTCAGGGACTGCGGGAACGTATGAGAAGGAAACGTGACAGACAGGGCTCAGCGGGGGGGAGGGCACACACACACACACGGTGGGCTTTCTTTTCCTTTTCTCCTTTTCCCTGTGCCCGCTGAACCTGAGACGCCGCTGGGCATACAACACGCGCATAATAAACACCTACAGCCCCAAGCAGACTTGGCACATGTGCCAGTGACTCACCACCAACCAGACACTCACCAATGGCAGCGGCCTGTGTGCCAGGGGAAGGGAGGGGGCCTCTAATTTTTGGACACTGTCACCAGCAGTTGGGCTGCATGTGCAGACACCTTGGAGGCCTGCAGCAGGGCCTGTGCTGTAATGTGGGAAGGTCACCACGAGTCGCCAGACGGGGCGCATCATCAGAGCCAGGAGGCTTCCTTTACCTGGGCGGCCCCCGAGCTCGCCCAGCCACCCAGGCTCCGGGTTTCCTCCCCTCTCTGGGCTCCAGGATCTGTACGCAACACATCTATCTGCCCCTGGTATCTGGTCCCGATAGCCTCATCCCAAGGCACATCCATTCAACAGGTATTTAGTGAGCACACACACACCCCCACGCCAGCTCCTGTTGTGGGTCGGTGGATCTCTGCCGGGGACAGCTGTGTCCCTCGGGGGACAGTGAGCAATGCCTGCAGACATTCTTGATTGTCACTGCAGGGGAGCAGGAGGGGGGGGGGTGCTACCGGCCTGCCGTGGGTAGAGGCTAATCACCTTGCCCTGCACAGGATCCTACGTTGCCCCCACAGCAAGGAGCTACCAGGCCCAAATGTCAGCAGTGCTGACGTGAGAGACCCTGTTCTAGACCCTGGGGATAAAGCATCAACAAGATGGGCACCTCAGAGGGGGACCCTGAATGTAACATCCACTCTGATCTCACTTTAAACCTCACTTTGTCCAGGAGCTTTCTCAGACTGCCCACCTCCCCCCAACCATGAGGCTGAAGGTAGGGTGGAGAGGGGGTGCACCTGCCCTTGATAGTGCTCTAATAGCACCCCATCTGTCCTTCACTCCCTCACTCCCCCTAATTTAATGATCAGGCCCCTGTCTGCAGAGCCCAGCCCAGGTCCTGCCCGGCACAGGCACCTGAAGGGGGGTCTGGGAATGAGAAAATGAATGAGCTGCCTCCATATTCACCAGGTGTCTCCAGGTGTATAGAGCTGGGGTCCCAAACCTTCCCTCATGCTGGCGATGAGGTCTTAGCTGTTAGGCCTAGAGCTTATGCACACAGACCTCTGGTTCAACTCCTGGCTCTCGCTCTTCCTTGCTAGGGGGCCCTGGGCGAGTGGCAGAATCTCTCTGAGCTTTGGTGTCCTCGCCACCTTGCTAGCAGGACTGGCCTCACAGCCTGGTGGGGAGTCCATGCGATGGCACAGGCACTGTCCAGAGGAGGGCGGGATACAGCTCAGCGGAACAGCGCGGTCTCCGAAGAGAGGCTGCAGAGGGGCGAGAGGCAGGAGGCCTGCAGCCAGGACACAGCACCCGCTTGTCCCCCACCCCCTGGGGGTCCTGAGACGCCCCCACACCAGAAGCAAGGCTCACTGTCACTTTTTTTTTTTTTAATATATATTTTATTGATTTTTTTTTTTACAGAGAGGAAGGGAGAGAGAGAGCTAGAAACGTCGATGAGAGAGTAACATCAACCAGCTGCCTCTTGCACACCCCCTACCGGGGATGTGCCCGCAACAAAGGTACATGCCCTTGACCGGAATCGAACCTGGGACCCTTCAGTCCGCAGACCGATGCTCTACCACTGAGCCAAACCGGTTTCGGCTCACTGTCACCTTTAAAAAGGCTCCAGCAGCCGAGGAGTCGCCCCTCACCAGACTAGGAAACCCGGGGAGGGGCAGGGAGGTGACAGAGAGCGCGCCAACTCCCATGCATTTCCCCTTCCGACCTCCCACTCCCAGCCCGGCCGCGCTCCAAACCCATCCAAGAAAAGCCGGCAGAACAATGCACTTTGCCTGTTCCCGACCAGAGGCCAGAGAATCCTGCTTTATCAACACGAACAAATAAACAGGTCCGTGGGACAGGCCTGCAAGGCCCGAGACAGGGCAGGCACCCGGGGGGGGGGGGGGGGGGTGCCCGCCCCGCGGCCCTGGACACAGGTCTGTGACACAGGCCCGCGCGCTGTGTCCACCGGAGGCCTCGCCGGGAGTGATTCAGCTTGGTGAGCCCTTGGCCCTTGGACAGCTGGCCGCCCTGCCAGTTGGGAGCAGGGATCTCGGGAGGGCTCTGCACACGGGATCCAGGGCGACTGCGCGAATACAGGGCAGCAGATAAGGTCAAGGCCGGCCTAGGGGTGGCTGTGCCAGGTTCGGGGCCAGGCCTGTCTCAGATGTGCCACTCTGTCCCACTGCTTCTGCCAAAGTCCACGGCCAACAGGAAAACTACCTGTTGAGCTCTGGTGGCGTAGCTGGCACTGAGGGAGCTATTGATAAGGGGTTTTTATCCCACTTAAAACCTTCCTCCCAGCCCGAGCTGGTCTGGCTCCGTGGATAGAGCGTTGGCCCATGGACTGAAGGGTTGCAGGTTCGATTCCAGTTGAGGGCACATACTACCTCAGGTGCAGGCTCCATCCCGGGTACATGCAGGAGACAACCAATCAATGTGCCAATGTTTCTCCCTCTTTGTCTCCCCTCACCCTCTCTAAAACTCAATGGAAACATATCCTCAAAATTAACAAAAACAAAACTTTAAAAATAAATAAACAAATAATGCCCCCCCCCAAAAAAAAATATTTTCCCATCTGCACTGAAGGAAGCAGAGGGGTGACATATTGGGCCCAGGTCACACGGCTAAGACCTGGTTGGAACCACACGCTTGTCTGGTGCCCAAGGAAGGCACATGGCCACCAGGTTCTCCCGGCTCCCACCACCAGAGAAGGCCATCTATGGGACACCAAAGGCAACTTCTGGCCACATCCCTGCCCGAGGGGGAACGAGGGGAAGGACATGCTCCTCAGCCCACCAGGCTAATTCCAGGTCCTCTGGTGCCTGATCTGCAGGATGAAGCACCTGGGCCCTGACAGCCCAGCCCGGAGGCGCCCCAGCCCGGCAGCGACTGCAGAATGAGAGCCAATGGCAGGTTCTAGTTCTGGGAGGTCAAGGTCGTGAGGAAGAGCTGGGCTGACTGCCGGGCACTTACCAGCAGTGTGACTCAGAGCCAGTGCCTCCGTTTCCTCATCTGTAGAGGGGGGCTGGCAACCTCTGCCTACCCTCCACACCCCCTTGGACCAGGCCACCCCTTGCTGTTTATGGTGTTCTCCTAAGGCGGGCAGAGCCGAGGATCCTGGCACAACCTACGTTCATCCCAAAACAGCCCCGACGGACAGAAAGCATCACTTCCGCTTTACAGGAGCACTGGCTAGTGGAGGACCCTTAGTGGTGGGAGATTTTTTGGGTTTGAACTCCCACCTTAGCTGGGCTTTTCCCAATGAGCTAGAAGGACCTGCTTGGAGGTTTGGACGGGCATCTACAGCATAAGGTGGGAAGGTGGGGAGGTCACCCTTCCAAGCTGCAGCCGGAGAGTGCTGGGCTGATCCCATGGGACCCCAGCCTTTGAGCATCCACAGTGAGTCCCAGTGCCCAGCTACCCGCCGCCTGCAGAGAGCCCCAGGGCAGTGTCTGCCCATTCTGGCCGGAGGACACAAGACAGAGGAGGCAGCAGGGTGTCTTGGCTCCAACTCCCGAGACTGCCCAACTTCCGGGAAAGTAACGGGACTGCCTTGTGCTCACTCCACAATAACTTTTCAGCTTCAGGAGAGCAAATTTGGGGGATTTCATGAGGTCCCATATGCCCTCAGAACATTCCACCTGCTCACCCCAAGCTGGAGCCTCTCCAAGCTCCAGGAAACAGAGAAAGTGAAAAGGGCACTGGCCTGGGCGCCTGACCTTAGGCAGGCTTGGCCCCTGGCCGTCCATGTGACCTTAGGCAGGTCCAGAACCTCAGGGGACCTCCGTTTCCTCACCGATAAAAGGGCACCGGAATACCTGCGACCTCAGAATGGAATCGCTGTGGGCAAAGGCGGGAGGTGCCACGGAGAAGTCAAGCCGAGAACCTACCCAATTCAGGAGGGGCCTGGAAGCCCGCTGGCCTCTGTGCCAGCTCCCGCCCACCCTTCCCCCAGCCCAAGACCCCCTCCTGGAAGCCCACCATGACTCCCGGCCCTACCGAGCTCCAACATGGCGCCCAGGACACAGCTTAACGCTGATTTCATTTGGAACCGCTGTCAGTTGAGTGCAGACTCCCTGACACAAAGCCCCTCTATACAGAGCGAGGTCCCTGTCAAGTTCTTCTGGAAAAGGTCCTTTAAAATCCCAACTTCCTGCACAGCAACGAGGCTAGACCCTGAGCATGTGAGTCTTAGAAATTAAGTCCTGGCCCCAGGGCCAGATAGGCCCAGGCACAAATCCCGCCCTTGCTTGACCTCTCTGTCAGTGTCCTGTCTGCAGCGGGGGAGGTAGCACAGCCGATGCCCAACCACAGGCCCAATGCAATGAGGCTCCGAAGCTGCCGCCCTGATGACTGTGGACATGGCTGGAGGGGTCTGACGCTGAGGGGTGCAGGGGTGGGGGCACCATCCCCTCAGCCCATCCTGGGCCACCCTGAGCCCTCTTGGTGAGGACCCCCGGGGAGCCTCTAGGAGCAGCAGAGGAGGGGGCCCAGGCCCCACCTACGTGGCACCTCCTTCATGAAGAGGCACCTCAGCAAGTCCTGAGGGCTGGTCACTGATGCCTCAGGCCTCTGCCTGCCATTCCTCCGCCAAGGCTGAGGGGCTTCCTCCTTTCGGGGGGCACAAGCAATCTGCACACGTGCCAGGTGCCCCAAGGGTAAGCACCGTCTGTGAGCCAGAAGGTTCTGCCCCGCCCCTCACCCACCCCGCAAGGCCAAGCTTCCCCTTGGAGCCCCTCCCACCTGGCCCTGGAGCAGCCCTGCACATGGGCCAGGCCCAGCTGTGCACACATGGCCTTCACATGAGGCGCGGGGAGGGCCCTCCTATGCAGCTGGGCCGGTGGCATGTGCGGAGGCCTGACCATCTGCCCTGCACACCCACCATCTTGGCCTCGCTGTCACGCACCCCCCAGACCCTAGGGCCGGGCCCCCATCCATCTGCACCGCGATGGCTGAGCAGCCAGTCCCGTGCCCCCTCCCTGGTGGAGTGGGATGGAGAGAAAACAGGATGGCTTCCTTGTGCCGAGGGCAGACAGCTCTTGGGCATTCAAGACTAAGGCGCAGAGCTGTCAAAAGCCTGGGCTCCGGAGTGACTCGCTGACGCCGATTCAAAGCCAGGCTCCACAATGACAGCGGCACACACTATGCGGGCTGCGGCCGCACCGTGCCACGGGGGCACCCGCACGCTGGAGCCCAGTGAGTGGCATGCCCAGGAGGCGTGCCCTGCAAAACCCGTGAGGCTCCCATCACCTGGCGTGAGCTCTCGGAACCACCGTCTCGCCACCTCCAAAACGGTTTCTTCCCTCTAAAAGGGGAGGCCAGCGGGAGAGAAAGGGCCCTGGACCTAAGTGCCAGCCCTGCCTGTGCCCTGCTACCCACCAGCTGTGCTGCTCTGGGCATGCGGCCTCCCCAATCTGGGAAGCAAGGTGAGCAGATGGGCAGCCTTCTGTTGTCCTTCTGTCCTGAGAGGTGGGAGTCATTCAGCGGCAGGCTACTGACTGACGGCAAGACGGAATGGTCACTGGGCCCACCGCCCAGGGTCCCACCTGGCATGTGGGTCAACAACCTGACCCCTCCATCTCAATTCACTGAGCAAACATCTTACCCAAATCCGTGCCTGACACCTTGGCTCAATAGTCATGGGGCTTCCTCCCGCCCCAGCAGTTCAATTCCCTTCCCATGATGGACACAGGCACCACTGCCCGCCCCACCCACAGAAGGAAGAGCAGAATGCGGTCCAAAAAGAGGATCATGTTTTCTGAACCGTTTTGTTGCTGGCGAAAGCCCAGAGAGGCTGAGTAACTTCCCTGGAATCACACAGGAAGTCAGCTGCTGAGCAAGAAAAAAACAAAAACAAAAAACCTGGCTACTCAAACCATCCACCCTTGCCCTTCCCCATTCCCTCCCTGAGCAGGTGGGAGCAGGGGGGTACCAACCACCTCTTCTTAGATTTCCTTTCTCTCTAAGATGAGAAGCCTAGAACCAGAGGGTAATCTTGTCTAAAAAGTGGAACTGTAAAACTGCCCTTCCCCCACCCATCCAATGCAAAAGACACTGGGGTGAGAGCGACCCCCACCAGCCCCAAACTGAGAAGTCCCTGACCTACCCAGACCTCGGCTCAGAAGGTCCCCAGCGAACCGGTCCCTCAGCAGAGCTGCCTCCTTCACCGGTGGAGGGGATCCCCTGGGAAGCCTCTCCCCAGCCAATTCTTAGAGGCCGCCCCTGGGGGGAGGGACCAGGCTTGTAGCCCGCGGCATTAAGGACACCAGGGCAAGGGGTGCAGAGCACAAAAGCAACCTGAGTGTAGGGGCACCCCTCCTGGGAGGTAGGGGCTGAAGAGGGAATGCGGAACCCTTCCATTCTGGCAATCCCAGGACTTCCCTTCCCACCCACCCACCCACCCACCGGGCAATCTTCCCCGACCCTCTCAACAGCCTGCAGAGGTCTTCTCCCCTTCCCCGGGAGACAGATTCCCACATTCCCCCTGTCCACTCCCCGCCGCTCCCAAGGAACCAGGAGACACACACTCGCTGTCATAAAAGTTAACTGCGAGCGCTGAAGTCTGAGCGCAGGCAGGTCACCACGCGGGGAGGGGCGGGCGGGGCGGGGACGACCAGAGCCTGCCTCAGGGGGCCCTTCACCCCCCATTTTGCAAACTGAGAAACGTCCCAACGCTGTAGCAAAGGTCCCTACTCCAGGAGGACCCGAACCTATCCGGGTCCTGGGGCCCTCCGCGCGGGGACAACTTGCCCCTCGCAAACACCCCTACCCCTCCCATCAGTCCCCCGGGCACTCACCCACCCACCCACCCGCTCGGGCACCCTGCCCCGGGCGCGGGGAGGGTGTGCGGCTGCGGGCCGGTACCTGCTTCCGCAGCGCCTCGAAGGCGGCGCTGATGGTGTGCACCCGCGTCCGCTCGCGGGCGTTCGCCAGGAGCCGCCGGGTCTGCTGCAGGGCTTTGATCTCCGAGGCGGCGGCCGTGGCTTCGCCGGGCCGTTTCCTAGGCGACGCGGAGGCATCCGGGTGGTGATTGTAAATGACGTGTGAGATTGACGAGTAGGAACTTTCCCCGGGGCGCGCGGGGGGCGCGGGGCGCGCGGAGGTCTCCGGGGGCGCGGGGGGCGCGGGAGGCAGGGGGCGGGCGGGCGGTGCGCACAGCAGGATGCGGGGCCGCAGGCCAGGCTCCCGGAAAGGCTGCACCTCGGGACCCCCAGGTACCTGGCCCTGGGGTGCTGGCGGCGGCGGCGTGGGGAGCCCCGGACCCACAGCGCCCAGGGAGAAGCCGCGTCTCCGCGCCTCCAGGACCTCCGGCGCCCGGGCGCCCCCGCGCTCCCCCGCCGCGTCCGGGCCTCCCCCGGAGGGAACGGCCGGCGCCACCGGGGCGGGCACCGGGGTCGGGACGGGCTGCAGCCGCGGGGTCCTGTCCCGCAGTCCGTGGGCGGCCGCGGCGCCCAGCTCGGGCACCTCCAAGTCCAGTCGGAAAGTTTTATAGCCGTTCGCGCGCCGCGCCGGCTCCTTGCCTTTGCGCTTGAGCTTCTTGAGGCCGTTCAGCTCCTTCACGCACACGGTCTTCCACGGCCCGTCCTCGAGGACCGGGAGGTGCTTCATGGCGCGGGCGGCGCGCGGGGCGAAGGCGCGGGGCTGCCCGGGGCGCGCCCGCCGCGCTCCTCTGCACGCGGCTCTGCCCGCTCTGCCGGCGGCCGGCGCTCCCGGCGCCGCGGAGGCTCGCGCTCTCCCTGCTCACCCCCGCCCCTCCCGCCCGCCCTCTCTCTCTCTCCTCTCTCCTCGCTCCTCTCTCTCTCTCTCCTCTCCCCGCTCCCCCGCGCGCGGGGCAGCTGCGCCGCCGGCTCCGCGAAGCTGCGGGCAGCCCGCTCCCGGGCGCTCAGAGCGTCCTCTGCAGCCGCGGCCGCGGGGCCAGCGTTTCTGGAGCGCGCCCGCCGCGCCCCATCTGTGTTTGTTTAGCCTCAGTTTACACAGAAGCCCGGTCCGCCAGATCAGTCAGCGCCGCCGCCCGGGGAGCAGGCAGCTCCCGCCGCCGCCGCCGCCGCCTCCCAGCCCGGCCGCCCGGCCGCGAGCGCCTTTAAAGAAACAGGAAGCATTTTTCAAAACAGCTGGGCTGCCGGCCGCCTCCTTTGTCCGCGTCCTCTCTGCCTCCCCCAGCCCCCACCCCTTCGGCCCGGAGCCGGCCTCCCCGGGCTCCCCCTGCCCGCCGCCTCCTCCACGTGGGAGCGCTGGGCGGTGGCAGAGGACGGGCAGCTCTCAGCAGGACTGCCCGAGCACGTGGTGTCGGGGCCGGCGGCCCTTCCCCAAATCAAAGCTGGGCCTTCTCCACCCTGTCCTTAGACTTCGACTTCTCCGGATGTAGCATCAAACTTATGCACCTAGCACCTCATGGCCCACCCCTCCGCCCTAACTCTAACCCAGCAGGCTGGGGGGGGGGCTGGGGGGGGGGGACACGGAACAGCAGCTTCTCCTGGAGTGTGTGAAGGCGAAGGGGGTGGTCCATGGGGGAGAGGGTAGGGCTCTGGAGTGTCCTGAGACCCGCACTCCCACTGCAGCTCGACCTCTGTCTGCCACTTACTGGGGCAAGAAGGCCAGGGGGCAGACAGCTTAGGTGGTGGGGAAACTGAGGCTCTGAAAAGCAGTGTCCTTTCCCATAGTCACACAGCAAGTCACATAGGCCTTCCAAAGCCCAATGGGGTGCAAGCTTCGGATTTAACCAGACTTAGCGTCTGTGAGAATCTGCAGTTACCTCACCCCCAGCAACCCGCCAAGCCGGGATCTGCTCACCTACGAAATGTGGAGAGCATCAATGCCTAAGTCACTGTCCCACTGCAGGGAACGTAAGTACCGGGCACCAAGGAGATAGTAGTCAAATGGTAGCTTTGGTTAATATTATTCATAAGAGGCAGACTAGCTCTGGGCTCGAAACCCAGCTCTGTTACTTACAAACTGAGTGACCATGGGCCAGTGAAGGACCCTCTCTGTGCCTCTAAGGCTACCTTCCTCCCCAGTGCTTGAGGCCTCATTGAACGTGGATGTGCCGGCTGTTCCTGGGCCAGACAGCTCCCCCGGCCCTCAGGGTTTTATGCCATTCCCCTGGCGATCCCGGAAAGAAGAGGTCAAGCTAGCAGGCTCTCCTCCCAGACCCACCTCCCAAGGCTGCCCTGCAGAGCCAGCACAGGCTTCACTCCCCCAGGGACCCTTCTGAGGCGGCTCCTCCTCACCACAGCGCTGGTGGCTCAAAGCAGTTTGCAAAGAGAAGATGGACCCTTGACCTGGCCTTGGGCTCTGGCCTCTGCAGCCACTGGCATCTTCATCTTTGTGGTTTCAGCCCTGCACTCCCACCCCCAGACCGGGGGCAGTTTTCCTGTGAAAATGCAGGGCTCACACCCTTTCCAGAGTCCAGGGGAGAACCAGAGCATGCCTTAGGGGGACCCTCGCCCCCACTTTGCAAACTAGGATACCTACCAGCGCAGTGACAAAGCTCACTGCTCCCGCGGGTCCCAAGCCTGCCTGTGGCATACAGAATCCTGGGAGGCAGGACGGAGTCTGGGCAGAAGGTTCGGGGGCAGGAGCGTAGAGCTGGGACTGGGAACCCGAGAAGGGTCTTGGCTTTTCAACCATTGAGGCCCATGACCCTGGGGCAAGCATTTCATCCCACGGGGGTTCTGTTTTCTCATCTGTCCTTGAGAACATTTCTGTCCGGCCAACCTCTCAGAGAAGTTGGGCAAATGAAAGGAGATCATGGATGTAAAAGGACTTGGACATTAGGCTTCAACGTACACATCCCCATCCCCACAGGGACACACACTGAGGAGGCACGCACTTTTCTGATGATAGCGAATGCAAAACCTCATTTTTTCCACCGAGATGGGTCCAGCACCATCGTGCATTAGCTCCTCGAGGCCCCTCCTTCCCTGGACACGCAGTGTCTTCCTGGGCTTTATGTCCTGAAGGCGGGGGACCCTCATGCACGGCCTCTGCTCAGAGACCTCCCACACTCCCTGCAGCGGGGCACGCCACTGCTCCTCACCATTTGGTGACAGTTCCATTCCCCGCCCCCACCCCCTCCTGTAAGCCTTGGCCGATCACCGGAGCCCCCTGTGGCCCCTGCTGGCCTCTGCACATGCTCACTCACAGGTACTGCTGCACTTATCCTCCAGCGGGGCCCTGTCTGAGCTACTGGGCTTGTAAGCTCCTGAGAGGCCTGCTGTTAGCTTCCTGTCTGCCCCCACAGTCGGTGCCCAGGATACCTTTGCTGAAAGACAACCAGCCTGCATGCCCTTTACGTTCTCCAGATCCCAAGCCTGCCCACTCCTCATGCATCGAGCCAGCCAGTCAGTGGCAGAGCTGGGAGGAAGCCAAGCCTCCTCTCCACCTGCTAAGGTACTCTCTGAACCTCAGTTTCCCCCTCTGTAAAGTGGAGATTATAGTAGTGTGCTGGCATGAGGGTTAAATGAGGCCGCATGTAGCATGGGGCACAAAGCAGAATGAATGGTGGCCTTCAGCATTCATGTGGCACCAGGCGGTCTCACTCCGTAGCACAGATGCCCAGGCTCTGTCTAGCCCAGCACCTGCCCCAGACTTGGGATGCAGTTGCAAGCTGGGGTGTCCATGGCTGTGGGGGAGAGGGGGCATGTAGAAGTCTCTGGCAAAACTGAAAATCGTCTCTGAAGAGGCTAGGCTATGTGCCAGGAAAATCACATGTCTCGGTTGGGTATTGAGGTCTTCTCATGCTTATCCCGAGCCCCTCACCCACTGCCCCCAAAGAGGAGGTGCTCCCTGAGATCCCATCCATGGGGTCCCAGGAGGGAAAAGGAATGGGTGAGAGTGGCCAGCTGTGCTGGGTGGAGGTAGAGTGGGATGCAGACCCGGCTCATCTCCAGGGCATGCTTCTCCCCTCTTACCTTTCCACCTCTCCTGCTGGCCAGATGTTGGCATCAGGCAGCCCAGGAGGAATCTGCTCTGCCACTTATAGGTTGTGTGGCCTTCAGCAAGCAGCCCCTTCCCCTCTCTGAGCCCTGGCTTGTCATCTGGGCATTATCTTCTTCGTCATTAGACGGAAAGGCATTTAGGGGAACGGGGCAATCTGGAATGGGCCCGAGTGATGTGAAGAGTCCGTGTTGCCACTCCCAGCCTGCCAGGTGGCAGACCTTCAAAGCCGGGTCTACCTGTCCGCATCCCCCTGGTCTGAGCTTCAAGCCTGGGGCTTCGGATTTGCCTCCTTGAGAAGTGGGAAGAGAGCCCAGCCAGGCAGCGCCCCCTGGTGGCATGACACTGCCGGGCCTGCACACAACACTGTGGTCTCCGGCAAGGAACTGTTTGTTGACTGTGGAGCCAGGTTCATGGCCCTCCCTGCAAGGACAGTAATATAGATTTCGTGAATTCATAGAGTTGCCAGGATGAAAAGGCTCTCATGGTTTCAGGTGGTCTCACTTTCTGCTTTGTCTGGGATAATGCAGACCCACCAAGAAAAAGTAAATCCTACGTTAAAAACATCCCCCACTGAATCAACGGTTCAAGGCTAGCATGATGGTGCCACTGGGAGGCTCCACAGCCCCTGGATGGCTGGTCCAGGGAACAGTAAGAAAACTGAAGAAGGGAGGGGAGGCAGGGGCTTAGGGCTTAAGCCACTGGGAGCAAATGCTGGAAAGCCAGGTGGTAATAGTGACTGCCACACTTCACCAAATCCTTAGGACAACCCAGGAGGTAAACCCATCCTGCAGGTAGGGGATGGCGCTCCTAGAGGAGATCCTTGCCAACAGAAAGGAAATAACAAAAGTGGCATTTGCACCCAAGCCAAATAGCTCCAAAACCTAAGCTTTGAACCATGTGCTTCACTGCCACTAGCAGGAGGAGGGGGCGTAACCGGGCCACATATAGGCCTGGCCTGTTGGCAGCCTGGCTGTCCCTGCGTGTGCTGCCAGCCCGGGTGAATTCTCTGCTGCCCACCTCTGCACGGAAGCCGCGGTCTCCCTATGGATCCGGGTGCCCCTCCACTCCTTCCAGGAAAAGGTCAGATGGCAGAGGCACCACCGCTGGACATTCAAGAGTCTCAGGCACACGGATCCCAGATCTTGGCACCCAGGCCGGTGCCGTTCGGCGGCTGAGGGCAGGACAGCTCTGCAGGGTGGCATCGGTGATGGCTGCCTTCTTGCCCAGGTGAGATGAATCTCCACATCCCTGAATCCGGGGTCCCTATTTCTGGTTTCAGATGGTTCCAAAGTGGGTGTGTCACCCATGTGAGGCAGGGAGAACGAATAGAAAGTAGACTGGCAGAAGGAAGCTGAACCCATGTGATTGGCGCCCCCTGGAGGTGTACTCACAGCAGCCCTGGACGGGATCACCCACGGGAGGGAGCAGAAAGTAGAATACCATCCGCCTGGTGGCCCCAAGTGAGGGTACCCACGCTGCACCGTTACCATCAGGATGTTGGATCCGGAGGTGGAGCTGAAGCATCCAAGCTGAAGCTCCTACACTGCAATCTTCACTCTACCTTCCGCTGTCGGTGTGGCCATGCCAAGTGCCAATTATGGAAAATTGAGTCTTTGGGGTGGGACAGAGGCCGGATGAGGGTGCTATGGAAGGGAGAGAGGGAGGCCTCAGCACTCCTTCTCAGAGGCCTGCGGGGTGCCCCTTCTCAGCAGTGCGTGTCTCTGCTGTGACCGAGCAGGCTCCCTGCAGAGCGCGTGGCTGTGGGGAGGGCCCGGGGGGAAGGCAGTGCTCCGTCAGCAGCAGGAGGAGCCTGGCCTGATGGGCAGACAGGTGCCAGGTTTCCACGCAGTTGGCCAGGTGTCCTGTTAAAACACAGGACATGTCACGTCATTCCTCTGCCCCAAACCTCCCAGGGACTTGCTACTTTTTCTCTGATGGGTTAGGACTGTGATCGGCAAACTGTGGCTCGAGAGTCACATGCGGCTCCTTGGCCCCTTGAGTGTGGCTCTTCCACAAAATACCATGGCCTGGGCGAGTCTATTTTGAAGAAGTGGCGTTAGAAAAAGTTTAAGTTTAAAAATTTTGGCTCTGGGAAGACATGTCAATCGTTGTCCTGTTGCTATCTGGCTCTGCTGACTGATGAGTTTGACCACTGGGCTAGGAGATAGCATCCATTTCTATTCTCCCAGCATCCTCGGGAGTGGCATCTATGCCTCCACCCCCATGATCTGGGC